CTCCCCAGACCCCTCCCCAGGCCCCTCCCCGCCCACACGGGCTCCTCCCAGACCCTCCCCAGGCCCCTCCCCAGACCCCTCCCCAGACCCCTCCCCGCCCACACGGGCTCCTCCCCAGACCCTCCCCAGACCCTCCCCAGACCCTCCCCAGACCCTCCCCAGACCCTCCCCAGGCTCCTCCCCAGACCCCTCCCCAGACCCTCCCCAGACCCTCCCCAGGCCCACCCCAGGCTCCTCCCCAGACCCTCCCCAGACCCTCCCCAGACCCTCCCCAGACCATCCCCAGACCCTCCTCATGCCCCTCCCCAGACCCTCCCCAGACCCTCCTCAGACCCTCCCCAGGCTCCTCCCCAGACCCTCCCCAGACCCTCCCCAGACCCACCCCAGGCTCCTCCCCAGACCCTCCCCAGACCCTCCCCAGACCCTCCTCAGGGCCCCTCCCAGACCCTCCCCAGACCCTCCTCAGACCCTCCCCAGGCTCCTCCCCAGACCCTCCCCAGACCCTCCCCAGACCCTCCCCAGACCCTCCCCAGGCTCCTCCCCAGACCCTCCCCAGACCCCTCCCCAGACCCTCCCCAGGCTCCTCCCCAGACCCTCCCCAGACCCTCCCCAGACCCTCCCCAGACCCTCCCCAGACCCTCCCCAGGCCCCTCCCCGCCCCACACGGGCTCCTCCCCAGACCCCTCCCCAGACCCCTCCCCAGACCCTCCCCAGACCCTCCCCAGGCTCCTCCCCAGACCCTCCCCAGACCCCTCCCCAGGCCCTCCCCGCCCACACGGGCTCCTCCCCAGATCCCTCCCCAGACCCTCCCCAGACCCCTCCCCAGGCTCCTCCCCAGACCCTCCCCAGGCCCCTCCCCGCCCACACGGGCCCCTCCCCAGGCCCCTCCCCAGACCCTCCTCAGGCCCCTCTCCGCCCACACGGGCCCCTCCCCAGACCCTCCTCAGACCCTCCCCAGACCCTCCCCAGACCCTCCCCCGGCCCCTCCCCAGGCCCTCCCCAGACCCTCCTCAGGCCCCTCCGCAGGTCCCTCCCCAGGCCCCTCCCCGCCCACACGGGCTCCTCCCCAGACCCTCCCCAGGCCCCTCCCCAGACCCCTCCCCAGGCTCCTCCCCAGACCCTCCCCAGACCCTCCCCAGACCCTCCCCAGACCCTCCCCAGGCTCCTCCCAGACCCTCCCCAGACCCCTCCCCAGGCCCCTCCCCAGACCCCTCCCCAGGCCCCTCCCCAGACCCTCCCCAGACCCCTCCCCAGGCCCCTCCCCAGACCCTCCCCAGACCCTCCCCAGACCCCCTCAGGCCCCCTCCCCAGGCCCCTCCCCACCCACACGGGCTCCTCCCCAGACCCTCCCCAGGCTCCTCCCCAGACCCCTCCCAGACCCTCCCCAGGCTCCTCCCCAGACCCTCCCCAGACCCTCCCCAGGCTCCTCCCCAGACCCTCCCCAGACCCTCCCCAGACCCTCCCCAGGCTCCTCCCCAGACCCTCCCCAGACCCCTCCCCAGGCCCCTCCCCAGACCCTCCCCAGACCCCTCCCCAGGCCCCTCCCCAGACCCTCCCCAGACCCTCCCCAGACCCCTCCCCAGGGCCCCTCCCCAGACCCCTCCCCAGGGGGCCCCTCCCCAGACCCTCCCCAGACCCCTCCCCAGGCCCCTCCCCAGACCCTCCCCAGACCCTCCCCAGACCCCCTCAGGCCCCTCCCCAGGCCCCTCCCCACCCACACGGGCTCCTCCCCAGACCCTCCCCAGGCTCCTCCCCAGACCCTCCCCAGACCCTCCCCAGGCTCCTCCCCAGACCCTCCCCAGACCCTCCCCAGACCCTCCCCAGGCTCCTCCCCAGGCCCCTCCCCACCCACACGGGCCCCTCCCCAGACCCTCCCAGACCCTCCTCAGGCCCCTCCCCAGACCCTCCCCAGACCCTCCCCAGACCCTCCCCGCCCCACACGGGCTCCTCCCCAGACCCTCCCCAGACCCTCCCCAGACCCCTCCCCGCCCACACGGGCCCCCTCCCCAGGCCCCTCCCCAGACCCTCCTCAGGCCCCTCCCCGCCCACACGGGCTCCTCCCCAGGCCCCTCCCCGCCCACCACGGGCTCCTCCCCAGGCCCCTCCCCAGGACCCCTCCCCAGACCCTCCCAGACCCTCCCCGCCCACACGGGCTCCTCCCCAGACCCTCCCCAGGCCCCTCCCTATCGCCCTCTCCCCCCCACCTCTTTGTGACTTCTGCCCCCCTTATCCGCCTGTCCTTTGGTCTTTTGGGGGGGGCTGTGGTTGACACAGAGCCCGTTGGTTTTGCCCCGCGCCCCCTGGGGTGAGGGGGTCCCCAAAACACCAGGGCCCTGGCAGCCGCACTTTCCCTGTGGAGCCCCGGGGCCTGCGCGGGTTCTGACGGCCGGTCCCCCCAGCTGCTCAGCAGGCAGAGACCCTGGGTCCAGGTTCGAGGCCAGCCCGGGCAGGGGAAGTTCCCTTTCCTCTCCAGTCCACTCGCAAAAAAGCCGGAAGTGGCGCTGTGGCTCAGGTGGTCAAGCGCCAGCCTGGAGCGAACAGGGATGGCCCCAGGCCCTGAGTTCGAGCCCCAGGCCGGGCACACGTGGTGTGTGCACACACACATGCACACAGACACACGCAGACACAGACACGCATGCGCACAGACATACAGACACGTGCACACACACAGACTCGCATGTGCACAGACACAAGCAGACACAGACACACATGCGCACAGACACACGCAGACACAGACACGCATGTGCACAGACACAGACACACAGACAGACACACAGACACAGACTCACATGTGCACAGACACACAGACACACACATGCACACAGACACACGCAGACACAGACATGCATGCGCACAGACATACAGACACGTGCACACACACAGACTCGCATGTGCACAGACACACGCAGACACAGACACACATGCGCACAGACACACAGACACGCATGTGCACAGACACACAGACACGCATGTGCACAGACACACGCAGATACAGACACACATGCGCACAGACACAGACACGCATGTGCACAGACACACAGACAGACACACAGACACAGACTCACATGTGCACAGACACACAGACAGACACACAGACAGACACGCGCACACATACTGACACAGACTCACATGTGTACAGGTACACAGGCAGACACGCATGTGCACAGACACACAGGCAGACAGGCATGTGCACAGACAGACACACAGACACACAGACACAGACTCACATGTGCACAGACACACAGACAGACACACAGACAGACACGCGCACACACACTGACACAGACTCACATGTGCACAGACACACAGGCAGACCACGCATGTGCACAGACACAGACACACAGACAGACACACAGACACAGACTCACATGTGCACAGACACACAGACACGCACGCACAGACACACACAGGTGCAGGACCCAGCGAACCCCGACCCCGACCCCAACGACCCCAACCATACCGACCCGACCCCGACCCCACACCCCGACCCCAGCCCCCACCGGCACTGACACCCCACCGTCGCCCCCCTCGCCCGGCCGGTTCTGAACCACGGGCGGTGGAAGAAACCTCGGCGTCCACGTGGTGGAGATCCTGGGAGTTTTGTGTTTGGGGCCTGGAGAGAGAGAGAGACAGACAGACAGACAGACAGACAGACACAGAGACAGACAGAGAGAGAGACAGACAGACAGACAGAGAGACAGAGAGAAAGAGACAGACAGAGAGACAGACAGACAGAGAGACAGAGAGACAGACAGAGAGACAGACAGAGAGACAGACACAGAGACAGACAGAGAGAAAGAGAGACAGACAGACAGAGAGACAGAGAGACAGAGAGACAGAGAGGACAGACAGAGAGACAGACAGAGAGACAGACACAGAGACAGACAGAGAGAAAGAGAGACAGACAGACAGAGAGACAGAGAGACCGACAGACAGAGACAGAGAGACAGAGAGACCGACAGAGAACGCAGGGCGGGCGGGAGGGCTCCTGGGCGGCCGTGGTTTGGGGGCGTGGCCAGGGATGGGGGCGGCCTTTGAAGGAGGCGGGGGCAGCAGCTGAAGAGCTAGGAAGGGGAGGAGGCGGAGCCTGGGCGGGGCGGGGGCGGAGCCTGGGCGGGGCGGGGGCGGAGCCTGGGCGAGGCGGGGGAGGAGCCTGGGTGGGGAGGGGGCGGGCAGGGGAGGAGCCTGGGCGGGGGCGGGGGCGGAGCCTGGGTGAGGCGGGGGCAGAGCCTGGGCGGGCGGGACGGAGCCTGGGCGAGGCGGGGGCAGGCGGGGGAGGAGCCTGGGTGGGGAGGGGTGGAGCCTGGGCGAGGCGGGGGCAGAGCCTGGGCGGGGTGGGGGCGGAGCCTGGGCTGGGCAGGGGTGGAGTCGGGCGGGGGTGGGGGCGGAGCCGGGCGGGGGAGGAGCCTGGGTAGGGCATGGTGGAGCCTGGGCTGGGCGGGGCGGAGCCGGGTGGGGGAGGAGCCTGGGTGGGGCGGGGCGGAGCCTGGGCGAGGCGGGGGCAGAGCCTGGATGGGGTGGGGGCGGAGCCTGGGCGGGGTGGGGGCGGAGCCTGGGCGAGGCGGGGGCAGAGCCTGGGCGGGGTGGGACGGAGCCGGGCGGGGGCGGAGCCGGGAGGGGGAGGAGCCTGGGTGGGGCGGGGGCGGAGCCAGGCGGGGGAGGGGCTGGGCAGGGAGGGAGCAGGAGCAGGAGCAGGAGGAGGAGTAGGAGGAGCAGGGGGAGGAGCGGGGGAGGCGCGGGGGAGGAGGAGCAGGAGGCGCGGGGGAGGCGCGGGGGAGGCGCAGGGGGAGGAGGAGCAGGAGGCGCGGGGGAGGCGCGGGGGAGGCGCAGGAGGAGCAGGGGGGGAGGCGCGGGCGGGGGAGGCGCAGGTCTAACTCCCGCCGGCCGCGTCCCGCTCTCGGAGCGAGGGGAGCGGAGCTGGGGACGGAGCGCGGGGCGAGATCGAGGCGCGCAGGGCGACGGGGTCGGAGTCGGGGGGTCGGGGGTCCCCGCGCCCGGGGATGGAGCTGCTGTGCGGGCCGGGGTCGGGGCGCGCACGCGCGGAGGGCGGGCCGCTGGCGGAGCGCGCGCTGCGGAACCTGCTGTCGGCCGAGGAGCGCTACCTGCCGCCCCGCGCCCGCGCGCCCCGCCTCCGCCCGCACGCGCGCCGCGCCCTGGCCGCCTGGATGCTCGAGGTACGGGGGCGGGGGACCCCGGGCCGGGATCGGGGGAGCGGCCTGGGGGGACCCCGGCCCGAGATCGGCGGGGACCCCAGCCCGAGATCGGGGGGGACCCCCGGCCCGAGATCGGGGGGGACCCGGCCCGAGATCGGGGGGGACCCCGACCCGAGATCGGGGGGGACCCGGCCCGGGATCGGGGGGGCGCCTAGGGGGTCCCCGACCCGAGATCGGCGGGGACCCCGGCCTCAGATCCGGGGGGGACCCCGGCCTGATATAGGGTGAACCTGGGGGGACCCCGACCCGAGATCCGGGGAGACTGGGGGGACCCCCACCCGAGATCCGGGGAGACTGGGGGGACCCCGGCCTGAGATCCGGGGGGAACCCTGGCCCGAGATCGGGAGGGCGGCATGGGGGCCCCGGCCCGAGATCCGGGGGGACTAGGGGGACCCTGACTCGAGATCCGGGGGGACTGGGGGGACCCCGGCCTCAGATCCCGGGGGGACCCTGGCCCGAGATGGGGGGAGGACCTGGGGGGACCCCGGCCCGAGATCCGGGGGGACTGGGGGGACCCCGGCCTGAGATCCGGGGGGGACCCTGGCCCGAGATCGAGGGGTCTGGGGGGACCCCGGCCAGAGATGGGGTGACCCCGGGGTACCCCTCCCGCAGACACTTCGTCTGGCCTCTCAGGCCCCTCCCCCCACGAGGCCGCGCCTGGCGGGGACCCCGGATGTGCCCCTCCCCGCCCCTTCCCGGCCGCCCCCCCAAGCACCCCATTACCCCCATTATCCCCGGCCCCCACCCCCGAGCTCGTGCCGTGCGGCTCCCCAAGATCGTCAGCTTAGAGATGGGGAGACGATGGGGTATCTCCAAACCAGAGATCCCGGGTGCCCCTTTCTGGGGTGCCCCAACCGCTCGCCCCGAGATCGGGGCCCCTCCACCTCAGCTCTGCCCGTCTGGGCCGAGGTGGAGCCCCCCCACGGTGCAGGGCGCCCCAGGGCCGGACGCTGGCGGGGAGCGGGGTCCCCCTCGGGGTTTTCAGGCCCGAGTGGCATCCGGGGGGGGGCATTTCCTCGATTTGGGGTTATGGTTTTGAAACTGGGTCTCCCCCCCACGTGCTTCCTCTCCTCCCTTCCCCCCTCTCTGCACCCCCAAATCCTCCCCCTAGGCCGCGGGGACTCCCCTCTGGCATGGTCAGCAGTGGACAGAACAGGGTCTGGGGGTTCGAGGGAGACCAAGGCACCCTCCCCGGGGGGCCCCCCCGAATATTTTCTGTTGACTTTTTGGAAAAGATGACAAAATCCCCCCCCCCAAAATCCACAAATTCAGAGCATGGCGGGGCCTGGAGCCTGTGGGGGCGGGGTGAGGGGGGACCCCGGGTTTGGGAGCCTGAGGGTCCCCCCATTTTGTGATCCCCCAGTGAGAAATCACAGGCACCCAGGAAGAGCTGGGTGCATGCACCCTCACTTTTCTTCCCTTTAGAGTCCTGCGTTCTGCTCCCCTTCTCCCCCCCCCAAATAAGCCCCCCAAACTTGTTCATTAAGTGATGCGAGATTATGGTTCGCAGGTAGGAATCCTTCCAGCGTGCCTCGGGGGCTGTGTTCACCCTTGGCCGGTTTCCCCGTCCCCCCAGGTCTGTGAGGAGCAGAAGTGCGAGGAAGAGGTCTTCTCCTTGGCCATGAACTACCTGGACCGCTTCCTGGCGGGGGTCCCCACCCTCAAGGCCCACCTGCAGCTGCTGGGGGCCGTGTGTATGTTCCTGGCCTCCAAGCTAAAGGGGAGCAGCCCGCTGACGGCCGAGAAGCTGTGCGTCTACACCGACAACGCCGTGACCCCCCACGAACTCCTGGTAAGGACCTGGGCCTCCAGCCTCGGGCCTCCCTCCCCCCGGCCTCCCCACTCCCCCTCCTCCTCCAGCCTGCCCTTACCCCCCTCCCTGGCTGTGCACCCCACATCTCCACACACCAGACCCAGGGCCATTCCCAGAAGGAACTCTGCTGGGAGCCGGTGGACGTGTGTGTGTGTGTGTGTGTGTGTGTGTGTGTGTGTGTGAGAGAGACGCCCCAAGAGCAGAGCTGACCTGCCAAACAAGGTGGACGCTCTCCTCAGAACCCCGAAAGTGGCCGCCACCGTGAACCCCCTTTGCGGACCCACACCCGGCCCCCCGACGTTAATAGTAGATGATCATTAAAGATACCCACGTGATCGATTTCGGAGCCATGTCAAAAAGGAGGGCATTTTTTTTTTAAATAATCGAGGCATCTAAGGCCTAGATTCCTAACCTAGGTGGGGACCCCAAGGGGGGAAGAAGGGGGTTCTTGGTCCCCCCCAGGAATGGGGGGGGAGGGAGTTCAGGAATCTCCCCACACTATTCTTAACTTTCTTTGTTAACTTTTTGTGCAGGATGCATGGTTGTAGAGTATTGCTAATCTTCAAAGGCTTTGCACCCCTCTTTGCTTAGTAGGAAGACCCCCCCCCCTTTTCCCTTCACACACACACACACACACACTCACACTCACACACACTCACGCCTCAGTGTCTTGACCTGAGCTTTGTGATACCTGGCCGTGCGATGCCCCTCTGGTGGTGGCCGTGCGCATGGCCGCGGGGCGGGAGGTCCAGGGCCTGGGAAGTTCAGCTCTGAACGGCTTGCCAGGTTTCTAGGCCTTTCTGGTTGGTTCTGAGACCCGCAGATCCCTCCCATCCCCCCCGGGAAAAGGTGCTTGTCTGCTTGCTTCTGGAAAGATCGCGTCCTTGACGCTCCGTGTGCCAGGGCCGGCTTGGGAAACGCTCCCCACTCCAGCCATCTTTGGAGATGCTGGAATGTTCCCGGTCCCTCAAGAGGGAGCGTTTGTTTTGTGTTTTTCTAAACCGGGGCAGACTTCAAAGTTGGTGCAGAAAGAAAAATTCTAGCTGGGCCCAGTGGCTCCTGCCTGTCACCCCAGCTCCTCAGGAGGCTGAGATCTGAGGATCGTGGTTCGAGGCCAGCCCTGGCAGGAAAGTCCGTGAGACTCTGATCTCCCAGGAACCACCAGAAAACCGGACGTGGTGCTGTGGCTCAAGTGGTAGAGCACCAGCCTTGAGCTGAAGAGCTGAGGGACAGTGCCCGGGCCCTGAGTTCAGGCCCCACAATCGAACCCCCACCCCAAATGGTTGAGCACCAGCCTTGACTGAAAAAGCAAAACAAGAGTTCAGAGCCCTGAGTTCAGGCCTAGAGAAGGTCGTGGAGGTTCAGGCAGAAGCAAACTTGAATCCTTTGGAAGTATGAGAGAGGCTGGGGCCGGGCCCCCCCAACCAGCTTCAAAGCTCTCGGGGTACGTGGGTGAGATCCATCTACTGAGAGCCCCAACAATTGATCTGGGTCTCAAGTCCCAGCTGAACCCTGGATCAACAGTGTGTGCCGGTCCTGGGGCTTGAACTCTGCTCAAGGCTGGTGATGGTGCTCTACCCCTTGAGCCACACCTCCACTTGGGGCTTTTTGCTCGTTGAGCTGGAGATCAAGGAGTCTCACCGAGGTGTTTGTCCCCTGTGGGGGGGGGTGGCCTGGCTGGCTTCAAGTCTCCATCCTCAGATCTCGGGCTTTGGAGCAGAGCAGCTGGGATTACAGGCGTGAGGGCCGGCGCCCGGCCAGAGAGGGGTTTTCACGTTGGCATTCTCTCTGTCTCTGTGCCCAGGAGTGGGAGCTGGTGGTGCTGGGGAAGCTGAAGTGGAACTTGGCGGCCGTCACCCCACACGACTTCGTGGAGCACATTCTCCGGAAGCTTCCCCAGCAGCCCGAGACGCTGCCTCGCATCCGCAAGCACGTGCAGACCTTCATCGCGCTGTGTGCCACGGGTGAGGCCCACCGGGCTTCGGCTGAGAGCGTGGGGGTCGGCGGGGGGGGGAGGAGCAGAGCCAGGGGGGGGCAGAGAACCCCGGGTTTCACTCTGGGTTCTGTGTGCGTTCACTTGTTACCCGTCCTGGGACTTGAACTCAGGGCCTGGGTGCCGTCCCTGAGCTCCTCCACTCCAGGCTGGCGCTCTACCTCCTGAGCCACACTGCTGCATTTTTGGCTTTATTATTATTATTGTCGTCGTCGTTGTTGTTGTTTGGTGGTGGTTCGTGGGAGATCAGAGTCTCAGGGACTTCCTGCCCCGGCTGGCTTTGAACCGCGATCCTCAGCCTCCTGAGTGGCTGGATGACAGGTGTGAGCCACTGCTCAGCTCGTGGGTGGTTGGTGTGGACCGTGGTGGTAATGGGGGGGGGAGGTGTGTCTTTAAGAAAATGGGGGCTGGGCAGGTGGCTCCGGGGTACAGTGCTCGCCTCGCACGCAGGAAGCCCTGGGTTCGAGTCCTCAGCACCACAGATACAGGAAAAGCCGCACGTGGCGCTGTGGCTCAAGTGGTAGAGCGCCGCCTTGGGCCAGAGAAGCGCAGGGACAGCGCCCAGGCCCTGAGTTCAAGTCCCAGCACTGGAAAGCAAAAGCAAAAACGTTGTCCTTTCTGGCAGCAGCCAGGACCGGGGTGCATTTTCCTGATCAACCACAGTCGGCAGCGTCCCCCCCCAGAACAAGGGTCTGACCAGTGAGCCCCCCTAGCCCCCCCAACCCCCTCACCCCCCCAAGCCCCCCCAATCCCACCCAACCCCACACAATCCACCCAACCTCCCTCAACCCCCCCAGCCCCCCAAGCCCCCCAACCCCCTCAACCCCCCTAACCCCACCAGCCCCACAACCCCCCAACCCCCCCCAATGCCCCCAACCCCACCCAACCCCCAACCCCCTCAACCCCCCCAGCCCCCCCCAACCCCCCCCAACCCCCCAACCCCACCCTACCCCCACACAATCCACCCAACCCCCCCAACCCCACCCAACCCCCCCCACCCCCCCAAGCCCCCAACCCCACCAGCCCCCCCCAACCCCCCAACCCCACCCAATGCCCCCAACCCCCCCAACTCCCCAATCCCCCCACCCCCAACCCCACCCAACCCCCCCAAGTCCCCCAACCCCCCAAACCCCCCCAGCCCCCCAACCCCCCCAGCCCCCCAACCCCCCCAGCCCCACCCAATCCCACCCAACCCCCCCCCAATCCCACCCAACCCCCCCATCCCACCCAACCCCCCAACCCCCCCAGCCCCCCAGCCCCCCCCAACCCCACCCTACCCCACACAACCCCCCCAACCCCCCCAACCCCACCCTACCCCACACAACCCCCCCAACCCCCCCCAACCCCACCCTACCCCACACAATCCACCCAACCCCCCAACCCGCTGCCCGCACTGTCCCCCCCCCCCCCCCCCGGGCCGTGGGAGCCCTGACCCCCAGTGCCGCCCAGGGGGGTCATGAGTTCACAGGAAGGAGCAGGAGGTCAGAGACCCCAGCCTGGGGGCCATGAACCCCAGAACCCCAATCGGGGCCTGGACGGGGGACACAATGTTGCCTCTTGTCGGGTCGCAGGGTCGCGAGGCCGTGGGGTCGCAGGGTCGGAAGTCTGGGTGAGAAATAAACAACCCGGTCACGGTCAAGGGGTGACCCCACCCAGGCTGGGCTGGGGAGGGGGCTCCCCCAGAGGGCGGTCCCGGAAATCCAGGCGGGAGGGAGGGAGGGAGGGGAGGGAGGAGGGAGGGAGGGAAGGAGGAGGGAGGGAAAGAGGGAAGGAAGGGAGGGAGGGAGGGAGGGAGGAGGGAGGGAGGGAGGGAGGGAGGGAGGGGGAGGGAGGGAAGGAAAAAGAAGGAGGAAAGGAAGAAAAGGAGGGAGGGAAGGAAGGGAGGAAGGGAGGGAGGGAAAGAAAGAAGGAGGGAAGAAGGGAAGAGGGAGGGGAAGGGAGGAGA